GCCATTTGCTGGTCACTCACGGAGTGCTCGATTGTTTCAAGTGGAGCTGTTGAACTGTGGCCTAGTCAATTAAAGAAGACTCTGGCTTCATGCTCTCATGGGCTCAGGGGTGTGGAGGACATCACTGGGTTGCCCTTGCTTGAATTGGATATGCCCCTACCCAGTGGCACAGTGGAATCAGCTTTAAAAATAGCTGTGCCAGGGTTTGACTCCCAGAGAAGCTGATATAATTGTTCTGGGAAGGACTGGGGTGTCTGCGGCTTTTTGAAGCTCCCGGGTGATCCTAATATCAGCCAAGGTTGAGTTGGATATTTAAAAAATTTTGTCCAGCTGTGTTTTTTGTTTTTTGAGATGGAGTCTCACCCTGTCACCAGGCTGGAGTGCAGTGATGCTGTCTCAGCTCACTGCAACTTCCACCTCCCAGTTCAAGTGATTCTCCTGCCTCAGCCTCCCAAGCAGCTGGGATTACAGGTGCCCGCCACCACGGCCAGCTAATTTTTGTATTTTTAGTAGAGATGGGATTTCACCATGTTGGTCAGGCTGGTCTCAAACTCCTTACCTTCTGATTTGCCCATCTTGGCCTCCCAAAGTGCTGGGATTATGGGCATGAGCCACTGCATCGGCCTTGTCCAGCTAAGTTTTTATATATGTATATATATATTTTTAAGATAGAGTTTTGCTGTGTTGCCCAGGCTGGTCTTAAAGTCCAAGCGATCTTGCTGCCTTGACCTCCCAAAGTGCCAGGATTACAGATGTGAGCCACCATGCCTGGCTGTTGAGCTGCATTTAGTCATTTACCCGTGTGCCCTCCTTGCCACGTGTGCAGCCACGGTTCCTGAAGACCTGGGAGATGAATCAGTGACAGGAACACCTGGGAAATAATAATAATGGAGAGAGCCGCCAGTTAGTGCGCATCCACTGCTGCCAGGAGCCACGCGCAATCCTCACCATGCCAGTAGGAGGAAAGTTCTGAAACGTCCCCATTTTGTGGATGTGAATACTGAGGTCCTGGGGGTAAAATAACATGCCCAAAGGCACAGGGCTGGTAGTGCTGGAGTCAGAAGTAGACTTAGGTCCCCTGTGATTCCAAAGGGCTGCCTTTGCCTTGGCCACCCCTGCTTGGACTTTCAGTGGGGACAGTTGGGATTGTGGTCCACACTGGAAATCCCAACTAGGTCCCACACGATGGAAAACTAAGGTTCTTCATTACTTCCAGTGCTACGTATAGAAGCTGACCCAAGTTGCCGTTTTGAAAAGAGATAGTTGAGGAAATTCAGTATTTAAGTTATTTCTTGGCCTCTCAGGAGGGCTTTGTGTTTTCGAAGGATGGGCAGTTAAATACACACAGGTTGGGATTTTCTGTTCCTCTTTGAACACTTGGGGCCGAGTGTGGGGGAGGAAGACTGAATCTCACAAAGCTGAGATGATCAGATAGTGCCGGATGTGCTGTGGGGCCTGGATAGCTGACATTGCTAATATATGACCCCATTGGTGCCTCCAGTTTTCGTTCTCTGATTAGAGATTGTGTTTCTTTATCTGGGTGCTCAAATGCCTCCGAGTTTGATCCTTTCTCATATTCTGAATTCCATTTCCAGTTCCTCAGAGTTTTATCCTAATTTTATAAATTACTGAAGTTTTTCCAATAAAATGTCATCTTCATCATTGTTATTTATTTATTTTTTTTTGAGACGGAGTCTTGCTCTCACTCAGGCTGGAGTGCATTGGTACAATCTCAATTCACTGTAACCTCTTTCTCCTGGGTTCAAGCAATTCTCCTGCTTCAGCCTCCCGAGCAGCTGGGACTATAGGCAAGCGCCACCACATGGGGCTAACTTTTGTATTTTTTAGTGGATGTGGGGTTTTACCATGTTGGCCAGGCTGGTCTCAAACTCATGGCCTCAGATGATTCACCCTCCTCAGCCTCCCAAAGTGCTGCTATTACAGGCGCGGGCCACTGCGCCCAGCCCATCATCATTATTGATGTCATTGATTACACACACAGCATTGTAATTCCAAAGAATAGACACGGGTGAGAAAACAGAATCAGTAATTCTTCCTTGACTAATCAGATTGTTTTCAAATATCCGATAATAGTTTTTTATGCATTAATTAATGATTTTATATGGTCATAGATGTAGGGAATGGTTTGTAATCAGGTTTTTAAAAATTCTAAAACTAAAACATTTTTATTATAATATGCCCTAAACATTTTTTTCATTTTATTAAAGCATCTTACAAATGGTCATTTTTTTTCTTTTTCTTTTTAATTGCATTTTAGGTTTGGGGGTACATGTGAAGAACATGCAGGATTGTTGCATAGGTACACACGTGGCAGCGTGGTTTGCTGCCTTCCTCCCCATCACCTGTATCTGGCATTTCTCCCCATGTTATCCCTCCCCAACTCCCCGCCCCTCACTGTCCCTCCCCTATTTCTCCCCCACAGACCCCAGTGTGTGATACTCCCCTCCCTGTGTCCATGTGTTCTTAACAAAGGGTCATTTTTAAAGAGTGTATAATGGTTCATCAAGTTGACAAGTCATATTCTAAATCAGTTCTCTGTTGTTAAAAATTAAAGTGCCTAGTAGTTTGTCGTTACACGTCTAAGGGTGCCACGAGCATCCTCGTGCATATAACTCTTTCTTCTTGGAAAATCCTTTGGACAGATTCTCAGCAGAAGGATTATTGAGTCAAAGAGCACAATTTTACGGCTCTTGACACACATTGCCAAATTACTTTCAACTGGGGTTCTCGATGCTGCCTCCATCAACATGTGGATGTGCCAGTTTCACCACAACGTCATCAACATGGTGTGATTGGCCTCAAAAAAATTATCATTCGATGGGTGCAAAATGGTCTCTTGTTAGATTTCTATCTATTTTTTATCTTTAGTGAGGGAAGTTTTCTTTTTTCTGTCTGTGTGTTTACCAACTCTCTTAGGGAATGCTGACATTGGCTGCTCCCCCAGCCAACTTCTTTACTTTCCATGTGGACGCCGTCAAGTTGAGCCACTTGTGACGCAGCCTTAAAATGAGTGAGCTTCAGCATGAAGCCTTTGTGTGAAATTCGGCTTAGCACACTGGCCCCTGAGTTTGGAGGCTGGGATTGCAACACTCTGCTCTTCACGTCCTGGGGTTCTGCATGAAATCACTGAATGGCCTTGTGGTCTTTATGACTTCAAACTTAACAGTTGTCCCTCTAGATTTGTCTTCTGAGTTAGGCAGCGTTTTTCTTCAGAAAGCATGAGATTACAGCTCCTTCAACTATTTTTGGGTTTCCTAGCTTGAAAAACGAAGAGAAGAAAAAAGTCCCTGTGTTTTCGTGTTGTCTCTGTCTTTGTGAGGCTGTTGTGTTTCTAAATGGCTTTTTCTGGTTTTGTCTTGTGCTTCACTCACCACATCCTGTGGGGTTGGAGGCTTCTCTAGCTCTGTCTCTCTCTGCCCGTCTGACGTTGAGTCCCTGGAGCCCTCCCCAGCTCTTCAGCTGGGACCTTCCCCTGCAGGAAGGCTGAGGCTAGCAGGGAAAAGCCAGGATGGCTTTTAAAGATCCTTGCTGTCACTAAGGAAGAGTAGAACTTACAGGTTTGGGTTTCCAGAAATGCCTACATTCAACTAAAGGGAATAAAAGGATGGGAGTTAGAATTTCAACTTACATTTGCAGAGTCCCAGAGTTAAAAGAAACCTTGGAGGTCATCTCTTCCAACCCTTCTCCAGAGCAGATCTCCCTCTATAGCATTTCTGATGGTGAAATTGCCGTTACTTGCATCCCTCCCATGCTGGAGAATTCAAAAGTTTCTTGTTGAATAAAACCACCCTGTTACAGACTTAATTTTTTCTTAAAAAGGTTTCTATTTGAAAGGATCTGGGCAAAAGCAAGAGGAACTTGGTACAGCCTTATTACCTGTATTTTGCTGTGAACAGTGTATGCAGCATGCATTCAGTCTGGCTCTGCCTTGGGTAAGCTCCCTCAGCCTCATCTTGCCTGTCTGTTGCTCAAGGGCATTAGGTGGCTTTTCAGGATTAGTGACTACATGACAAACCCACTAGTACCCAGCACCAAGGAGGCTGGAGATGAGTGACTGTGATGAGGATGGATTTTTTTTTTTTTTTTTAATTTCTTTTTTTTTTTTTTTTTTTATAATTTTTTAAATTTATTTATTTTTATTGCATTTTAGGTTTTGGAGTACATGTGAAGAACATGGAAGATTGTTGCATATGTACACACGTGGCAGTGTGATTTGCTGCCTTCCTCCCCTTCACCTATATCTGGCATTTCTCCCCATGCTATCTCCCCCCAACTCCCCACCCCACTCTGTCCCTCCCCTATTTCACCCCAACAGGCCCCAGTGTCAATGAGTTCGTGTCCTTTGTAGGGACATGGATGAACCTGGAAACCATCATTCTCAGTAAACTGACACAAAAGCAGAAAATCAAACACCTCATGTTCTCACTCATAGGTGGGTGTTGAGCAGTGAGAACACATGGACACAGAGGATTAATTTTTTTTCTTTGATGCTGGAGTTTCCTTCCTTCGCCTGGGCTGATGCTTCAGTTGACATTTGACCTGTGGTCACTTAAGAGCATTTACACTTCTGAGAAGTCTTCTTCTTCTCTCCTTTTGCCTGGGGAGAAGTCACGTAACTGCTTGGGTAGGCCTACCTTTTAGGCAGATGGAGACTCATGCATTGTGACTTTGAGTAAGACCCTACGGTCTGCTGGGAGGTATGAATTCTTGACAAGGAAGGGACTGGTTCTTTTCCTTAGTTCCTTACCTCACTCAATTCTGGCGCTGGTTAATCTGAGGTTTTCTTTGATGCCTCTAGATTTCCTGGAGTGTCAGCCCTCTAGGGACCCCAGGGCCTAGTTCCCCTGTCCAGCCCAGCCCATCGCAGCTCTGAATGTGGGTCTGGTGAAGACTATCTCTTTTTAGGGAAGTCAGGGACTCACTCCTTTCTGCCTGGAATAAGACTCTCCACTTGACATCCCTTTGGTTCTTTTCACCAGTCTGTAGGTGTGAAGACTTCCATTTGGGATGCCAAGCCCCCATGTCCATAGTGTGAGAGTCCAGAGGATGAGACCTCAGATCACGAATCCAATAACCCTCGCCTTTAACTGCCTGTGTGGGAGATTCAGGGCCAGCAGCTGCCCTTTCCCTGCCTCTGACCTGGCGGCTGAGTTTAGGTGAGTTCCTTGCTTTCTGGAGGCTTTACCATTATTATTATTAAGAAACAAGAGGATGAATATTTGAAGTGCTTCTTCTGTCTTAAAGCCCTGAAATTCCACTGGCTTCTGAAATCTTCTATGCAAGCCCTATACCTATAACTGGTTAAAGGAAAGCTGCTTTGATCAAAATAGGGCTATAGTCCTTCTGCTGAAGCTTCCATCTCCATCAGGCTCCCAGGAGTCACCTTCAGGAGGCTCTCTTGACTTCCTAGGGATTTGTGGAGTATAGTTAGGAAGGGGGGCACTGGGACCTATGCTTATAATAACTACAGCACCTCCTTAGTGAGCACTAACCAGGTGTCAGGGGCTTTGCACGGGTCATGCTCAGTCCCGACAGACATTCTGGGGGGTCTGTATCTTTGTCCCCATATCGCAGATCAGGCCTGAGCCTCAGGGGAGTCCTCCTTGCTCTGCTACCTGAGATCACACGGGAAGGAAGTGGTGGAGCCTCAGTTCCAGCCCAGGTAGCTCAGCAGCAAGGCCTGTCTGCTTCAGCGCTGAGCATCACTGCTTCTTTGTGACTTGTGAACTTCAACCTGACACACAGCATCCCAGCCTGCCCTGGAGTTCAGTTCTTTGAGTTGTCATCCCCCTGCTACCTCTGACAGCCCCCGTATTTAGTGTTTTAGGTGCTCCCAGATCCATGACGTGTAATAATAGTCTAAAAGCATCAGTGTTTTCTAGATACAATGTACCACTTGGCAAATAGCCTCTGTGACACCACTGGTTTAAGGATTTTCCCTAGCAAACTTTATTATCCCTTTCTTATTGTGGCTTACTCTTGTTTGCACAAAGCCCAGGCTCTAATTTATTCTCCTTGTCATCAATCCTCCCATCTGTTTCTCCAGGAATCACCCTGAGAAATAAGGATGCTCCGTAGGTCTGGTGGGCACCTGAGTGAGGATGTCCCTCAAGGTCTGTATATTTCCTGCAGGGGAACGGAAGCTGGAGCCTGGGCTTCTCAAGTGTGGGTTCTGCCCCTGAAGCTGTTTTCTCAGAATGGAGGCTCCAGGTAGTTCCTAAGTCCCCATCTGCTGCAGGAGACACCTGAAGAAACTGTGGATAGTTCAAAGTTTGGATTATTTAAGAAATCTTAGCTGGGCTTGGTAGTTCACGCCTGTAATCCCAGCACTTTCAAAAGCCAAAGCGAGTAGATCACTTGAGGTCAGGAGTTTGAGTCCAGCCTGGCCAACATGGTGAAACCGCATCTCTACTAAAAGTACAAAAGCATTAGTCAGGCATGGTGGTACGTGCCTGTAATCCCAACTACTGGAGAGGCTGAGGCAGGAGAATCGCTTGGACCCAGGAAGTGGAGGCTGCAGTGAGCCGAGATCTTGTTACTGCGTTCCAGGCCTAGGCAGTGAAGCCAGACTCTGCTCCACCTCCCCCGCCACAAAAAAAGAAAAAGAAATCTTGTCTTAGTTCCAAGACTTGCATTACCAGCTGTCGCCCAATACCATGGTTCCATGAGCTTGAAGCCTTCTTACTACTGTAGAATGAAGTCTATAAACCGCAGTTGTAAGTTTGGTGCCTTCTGTTCAGCTGTTCGTCTTCACTGGTTGCAGGCATGTTCTCACCCACATCCGTAGTGATGCGTGTTAGGTGACAGCATGCCTCCCCATGCATTGCTGGGCTGTCCCAGTGACAGTGTTATATTTATCTAGCATCTGATGAGCAGAGCAGAGTCACGGCTTATGTGCCAACGTCTTGTTGCTCTTCTCTTCTCTTGCCAGCTTCCATGCCGTCACTTCTTTCAAGCTGCTGATCACGTTACCTCTTATTCAAAGTTCTCCATGAGGAGCTTACTTGTCTCTCCCCTTTTTTGTTTTAAGAGATAGTATCTCGCTCTGCCACCCAGGCTGGAGTGCAGTGGTGCCATCATAGTTTACTGCAGCCTTAAATTTCTGGGCTCAAGCAATCCTTCCACCTCAGCCTCCCTGAATAGCTGGGATTATAAGTACCGCCACATCTGGCTAATTACCTTTTTCTTTTGTTTGTAGAGGCAAGATCTCACTATGTTGCCCAGGCTGGTTTCAGATTCCTGGCTTCATGTGATGCTCCTGCTGTGGCCTCCCAATGCACATTCCTGAGCTACCACCTCCAGCCATAGTTGTCATCTTTTTGGTTTTTTTTTTTTTTTTTGAGTCGGAGTTTCGCTCTTGTTACCCAGGTTGGAGTGCAATGGCGCGATCTCGGCTCACTGCAACCTCCGCCTCCTGGGTTCAGGCAATTCTCCTGCCTCAGCCTCCTGAGTAGCTGGGATTACAGGCACGCACCACCATGCCCAGCTAATGTTTTGTATTTTTAGTAGAGACGGGGTTTCACCACGTTGACCAGGATGGTCTTGATCTCTTGACCTCGTGATCCACCCGCCTCGGCCTCCCAAAGTGCTGGCTGGGATCACAGGCTTGAGTCACCGCGCCTGGCCTGTGTTTTTTTTTTTGATTATTATTTTCAGATGGAGTCTCACTCTGTCTCCCAGTTTGGAGTGCAGAGGTGGCACAATTTCGGCTCACTACAACCTCTGCCTCCTGAGTTCTAGTGATTCTCCTGCCTCAGCCTCTTGAGTAGCTGGGATTACAGGCATGTACCACCATACCTGACTAATTTTTTGTATTTTTAGTAGAGATGGGATTTCACCATGTTGGCCAGGCTGGTCTCGAACTCATGAAAACAGGTGATCTGCCCACCATGGCTTCCAAAGTGCTGGGTTTACAGGTTTGGACCACCGCATCAGAACCATTATCATTTTGTTTTTTCAGGAACAAGGTTTTTGCTCTGTTGCCCCAGCTGGAGCACAGTGGCACAAACATAACTCAGCATATTCTTGAACTCCCAGACTCAATCTGTCTTGCTGATTTTTTTACATTTGTGTTTGTATGTGTAGCTCTCACTGTTTCCCAGGTTTATCTTAAACTCCTGGCCTCAAGTCATCCTCCCGCCTTGGCAATTGCCATTTTTATCATTATTGTTATTTGAACATTGTGATTAATACTTTACATAAATGACACAATTTAAGCAAATTTTTTTTTTTTTTTTTTTTTAAAGATGGGGTTTCACCATGTTGGTCAGGCTAGTCTTGAACTCCCGACTTCAGGTGATCTGCCCACCTTGGCCTCCAAAGTGCTTTTATTACAGATGTGAACCACCACGCCCGGCCAATTTAACCAATTTAACCTGTACCAAATAATCATCTTTCATTTATTGTCTACGCCTCCTTCCTCCCCACACTCCCACTGCATCCTCTGTTTCGACGGTGAGATTGGCACAGTACTTTACAGTTTACAAAGCATTTCCCCACCTATTGTCTCCTTCAGTCTTCACACGAGGTAGTGCCACTAAAGGCTGTCTGCTCACACCTGCAGCTTTTGGAGGTAGCTTGTCTTGGAACCCAGGTCTCTCTGACAGCTGTATGTGTGACTTCCTGCTTAATCAAACGTGTAAGTTCATCCATCTATTTGTCCATCTAGTCATCATGTAATTACCCAACAGAAGTTTTTATATTAGGTGGTGGGTGAACCAAGTTGAAGAAACGGGTCTCTAACTCAGTGAGCTGGGACTCATCCACACATTAAAACAACCACAGGTGTTTGCACACTGCTCACTACCCTTCCTCATTGATCACAGCCTTAAGCCCAGCATTTGCATCCTTGTCAGCAAGGCGTTCCCACAAACTAGCTCCCATCTTCCACGACACGTGTGCCCCCGGTCCTAAACCCTCATCTTGGTGGCACAAGGCCTGAGCATCTGTCATATGAACCTTCTTGATGATGCAGGCTGGGCTCTCTAGGAAACAGATGCTAAGATGTAGATTAGTGAGTAGGATATTTGTTATGGGATTCCTTCAGGAGCAACAGCTGTGAAACGGAAGGGGCAGAAGCCATGGTTGGACAGAGAGAGAAATGGAGCTGTAACAATGTCCCAACAGTTGTGTGTGTTGCAGATGTGTGGATGAGTCCCAACTCATTGAGTTAGTGACCGATTTTCTTCAACTTGGTTCTCCCAGCACCTAATATAAAAACTTCTGTTGAGTGATTAGATGGTGACTAGATGGACAAATAGATGGGTGAACTTACACATTTGGTAGAGGAAGGAAGTCACATATACAGCTTCTAGAAGATTTGCAATGCCAGGGGAGCCTGGGAGCTGGTCTGATCCTTCAGAATTGTCCTGAATGGAGGTGAGGATTGATCAGTCATTTTATGTGCCCCCATAAGGTATGCCTAATCTTGAACTGCCAAGGAAGTCCCCTGAGAGGGCTGAGAGCTGATGGTCATCTGCCAACCCTTTAGTAACTGCTTTAGAAGAAGCCTGGATGGAGAAACATCTGCTTTTTTTGTTGTGGTGGTGGTGGTGGCTTGTTTTTAGAGAAAGGATCTTCCTCTGTCACCCAGGTTGGAGTGTATTGGCACGATCATAGCTCACTACAGCCTCGACCTCCTGGGCTCAAGTGATCCTTCCACCTCAGCCTCCCAAGTCATTAGACCTTCAGGTCCATACCACAACATCCGGCTAATTTTTAAAGTATTTTTGTAGAGATGGGGTCTCACTGTGTTGCCCGGGCTGGTCTTGAACTCCTGGCATCGAGTAATCCTCCTTCCTCAGCCTCCTGAAGCACTGGGATTACAGGTGTGAGCCATGATGCCTGGCCAAATATCTGTTTTGTTTACCATTTTATCCCCACTATCTAGCACAGAAAAGGCACCCAGTATTTTGGGGAATGAAATTACCTAAGCTTTATGGAAGCACTGTGAGTATTTCATTCAGCAAACATTTACTATTTCAGAAATGGTGTCTTACTCTCCTGTGACACGCCAGGCACCGTTACCCCTCCTACGGAGGTTACAGTCTAGGGGATTTGGGCTGGGTGGTGGCTCAACACTGACTTCCTGGAAGAGGCAACCTTCATACATTGGGTGTGACTTCCTGGACAATGGGCTCTGGGCCAGCTTCAGGCT